TTCCTCTCTCTCTCTCTCTCTCTCTCTGACCTTCCCTCCTCACCCTCTTCCTTTCGCTGGCGTCCCTCTTCTCGTCTCTTCTATTCGTCGACCAATCGCTCCTCCATTTCGAATCTCGGCGAAAACCCTAATTCCTCCCCCAAAGAATCCGCGGCTCTATACCCTCAACCACTTTTCTTCTCCCCCTCTCGATCTCTTCCTCTGGCTCGCTCTCCGCCGCTTCTCTGGCTGATTTCCCCCTCCGGTTGGACTCCAGAGCTCTCGATTACCTGTCGCCTTTTTGTTCCAGGTCGTGGCAGATGGACGAAGACGAGGTGGCGCGCGTCTCTCGCACGCCCGAGGAGGTTTTCCGCGACTTCAGAGGCCGCCGTGCCGGCATGATCAAGGCCCTCACTACTGGTTGCGCCTCCTCTCCTTCTTTGGTTCGATTCCCTGGGTTCTTCATTGGTTTGCTTACCTGGACGTTTGTTGGTTGCTGATATCCGATCTTTTCACTTCTTTTCACTTCTTTCTTCTCATTTTTTTGATGGTGGCGTTGCAGACGTCGACAAGTTCTACCAACAGTGTGATCCAGGTGAGTCGCTGCGTTCTTCGATATCTTGATATAGGGTCAGGGTAATTGTATATCTTTTGTGTAGTTATTGGAATTTCTCATGTTTATGAGATGAGCAACATCATGGATGTCTTTTTTGGTTATTCTGTTACCTTTTTTTTTTTGTGATTTTAATTTAATCAAGATTCTTGAATTTTTGGTCGATATTTGTTTTCGGCTGAATGTCAATGGTTAACTGCATTCAGTACTTGAAGGATGGCATTTTGTCCGCACAAAGAACTCAACTTCAGACTTGGTAGAAAAGGACACCCATTATGGTATCACATCTGCGATTTTCGGTCTTCGTACCCATACTTCTTATAGAGTGCATGAAGCTCTGGCCAATGGGTTCTAGGGAGGACAATATATGCCACCTCATCTTATAAGATTATCTTCTTATATCCTCTTTTTGCTAGCAACAACATAATGGAGGTGGTCAATCAATATAGATCGATCCGAAGTCTAATTCAAATCCAACATAGAACCCATGGGTACATAAGAAATGTATCTAATCGATTCTTTTTAATGAATATATCCATTTTAATGAATAGATCTGATCGTAACTTCAAATATGGAATTCAAAGGGATCAAATAGAAAATGATACTCTAAATCCTGTAGCTATAATGAAATATAAAATAATAGCTTCCTATATCCTCTTGATGCTAATTTTTTTTTTTTGTGCTCTTTTACATTGATGAAGGAATTCAGAATATTGTTAAAGTGTGTAAACCTGTAACATTTGGTTTAACACCACTTTGCACATCCAGTTCAGGAAACTTCATATATTGTTTTTGTAGATTTCAAGTCCATACCTTTCTATTGATCACCTGCTTTCCGATTGCCTGATTGTACAGCTGTTATGAAAGCACCTATGGACCATATTTCTGCAATTCATGTAATTAGTATGTACAAACAACATACAAGTACTTTTGTTTACCAGAGTACTAAATGATATATTGTTTATGGCTGCACTATGAGTATTTTATGTATATTTTTAATTGTTAGTATTGAATGCATTACTAATAACACAAAAAAATGCAGAAAAAGAGAATTTATGCCTTTATGGATTTCCTAACGAGACTTGGGAAGTAAATTTGCCAGCGGAGGAAGTGCCACCAGAACTCCCTGAGCCTGCCTTAGGAATTAATTTTGCTAGGGATGGAATGGCAGAAAAGGATTGGTTGTCACTAGTTGCAGTCCACAGTGATGCATGGTTACTCGCTGTTGCTTTCTATTTTGGGGCACGTTTTGGGTTTGACAAAGAGTCAAGGTAATATCTTTTATGGAGCTTTTTCTGGTCACATGTGCAGATTCAATCTAGCTGTTAGCGCATCCTTAGTTTATTAATGTTTAGGTCTGTTTTAATATGGACTCATGAAGCAGTTGTTATTAGAGAATTATGTTTCACTGAATGGTTAGCTTTCTGTATAGCATGATTTGTTTCCTTGTTTTTCTTGATTTTAAATTAGAATTGACTTCTTTGGTCATCATCTTCAATCATTTACATCATTCCTTGTCTTCTTTCTTTAATGACTGATTTTCTTATTTGTTGTTTGAGCAATCTTGGTGTATTGTGTAAATATCTATTATATTCCTAAACAAACAAAGTTGCTTTAAAGAAAATAAAATAACTACTACTAGCCTTGGCACCAAAAGAGCACAAATTTGAGTAAGCATAACCTATGACTGTGAACATGCATATGAGTGTTAAACATGGACATCTTATTATCTGAACTTTTTGTTGGAGTAATGTAGTACAAAACATTGATAAATTGTATCCAAATGCCACCCTGAATAATGATTATTGTAGTAATCACAATACAAAATTATATCATGGGAAACATGCAACTTAGGTAGGCAGAATTTTTATTGCTTAGAGTTGGTGGATCTTGGAAGAAATAAGTTGGTTGGTGCTGTTTATATTTGCACTAAATCAAATGGAAGATAAACCAAATGGCAGAATTTGGAACCATTCTTGATCGCGTGAACCTGGGGGCTTACCTAATTGTTTTGAGTCAAATTTAGCTTCTTAGCTTGCGTACTTGATGAGTGCAAAATAATTTACCTTATAGATAAGCTTATTTGTATTGGATCATATTAGTCTAATTATTGCTTTCCCAGTTTTAACACAAGTGTTGGAACTTGGAACACAGAAGTAAAAGACCATAACTACTGTTTTGTCACTGGACTTAATTCTTTCATGTAATTTCCATTTGTTTCATGGTCACTACCCTTTTGACCAATGTTATCTTGCTTGCTCATGTCTTACCACTATTAAGAGTATCAGAAAGTGAGCTGTTACTTCTCCTTCCCCCCTCTCTTTTCCATCTTGCTTCTTCGCCAACACCATTAGGCACTTCTTATGTGCAACCACAAGGGGCTCCTTTCTTATATAGGTCTTCCTTCACTCCCATCCCTTACCCTAGCCTCCACATCTGCTCTTGCGAGGTACACACCGAGGTTTTTATGCTCATTCAATGGTATTGACATTTACTTCTGTCAATAACTACTCATTTGACTTGTGCTTCGAAATATCGTATGTAGATAATGTCATTATTTTGTCATTTCATGATATACTTCAATTGCAATCAACGTCTTCATGTTGCAATAGAAATTGCCAAGATTTGTGTGATTTGTCATGCTTATATGATCTAATTAAAAAAACTGAGTAGATGTATTTGCTGTTTCATTCATTTTGCAATTGTAGATGATGTAGACATTATCAAGAATTATTGTCCTGAAAAATGATAATTAATTTAAAATTAATTACGGCTTCCAATGAACTTATGATGATTATAAACATGAAGAAATGTGACAGATTGGTTGGGTGAACCATCTTATTATTTTGACCTTGGTGATAAAGTATTAGTACAAAAGATTTTTGTAACAGAACTTTTGTGTTACAGTTTTCAGGTACCAACTAGGACTTGCTTGTTGGTGATCAAAAGGGGATAATTTGAAACGTATTGTGTGTGTGAAGAGAGGGACATGGCATATGAGACCCTGAGGCCCAACTCATGAATTGGATCTTTCAGTTATCATATAAACTTGAGATTAGAAGCTTAGTGATGTGGGATCCAGTTGTTTTATTGGAATAATTTTGTTAGCTTAAAAATATAATATTATCCAAGGAACAAATAAGAAAAATAATAAAAAAGCAATATTAAGAGTATGTGCTTGATTCCATATCGTGCTCAAAGAAATAAGTCAATTAAAATTAAAATCTAGAAAATAGTTCAGGTTATCTTGCTATGCTTTGTCTAGAAAAGGAAGATTAGTCATTGATTGGAACCATGATGAATTTGAAAAATTGATTATCATAACCACTTTTTATATTTCCTTTAATGTATGAACAATCCTATATGTTATTAGATTAGGTTAGTGATGTCTAGTCTAGTGTGAGATCAGGTGTCTCTGGGTGTGTTGCATAGGAACCAGAGAGAGTCCAGGTATTATAATTGGTTTCTTCTTTTCCACCAAATCCTAGAAAAAGTGAATTTCTTTGTTCCAAGCACAGGTCCATTGTTATCAGACACTTGGAACCTTAAGAGGGGTCAGGAAGTGTGATCAAAGATTTTTTTGTTTGGCATTTGGCCACCTTTGGAAAATCCGATTAACGATATTCGAAAGCAAATTTTTGCTGATCTCCATTGGCAGAACAAATGTGAAATTAATTAATTTTCTGACAGTAGAAAAATTTTATGGTTTAAGGCAGTCATAAAAATCATTCGTGGTCTGTCTCAAATCATATATGATGTGAGAGTCATAAGATAGGAGGCCGTATTTGGGTGATAATATCTCTTCATCAAGTTGGTGGGCAGGGAAAAAAATTGGAGGCTGTCATGCAGGTGCACCTCAATTTGTGTCTTTGTCTTGAGATTTGGTTATCGATTCCTCACCGGTTCTTCATTTTCCCCAAACAGTGGATGAGAAGAAGAAGACCTGTTAACATATTTGTTGTTTTATTCTCTGTTTCCCCTTAATTGGAAAAATGCCCATCTATAAGATGATTAGTTCCTTGCAATGATTTTCATTGTATCAGTCACTTGCTCCTTGACAATGTGATTGGTAGAGTAGTTTGTGGATATCTTTCAAATAGCCGTTTCAGTGTACTTGATACGTATGTTGGTTTTCTTGTTATATCCTTTCAGCCAACACAAGACGCATAGAAAAAAAGAATCTGAATCTTTGAAATATGTTATTTCTGATAGCTTAAACGCAAGAAATACTTGATGGAATATCAGGCAGTAAACTTTCCAGAATCTGAGCATAATAAATTGGCAACTCACTGATATTATGTCCTGTTCCAGAATTATTTGCTTTTCCTACTCAACATGAGAACCAAACTTGCTGGTAGATTTATAATTTTTTTAATGTTTAAAAGGCTTGCTAACTGTATAATTTATATGATCGTTGGTTATAAACAGCCATACATTTACCATATAAATTGGCTCCCACCATTAAGACACATATCTTCATCCTGAATTTTGATATCCCATCGGGGGTTTGAACTGTTGCTTCACTCATTATGAGGACAAGACTAATGGAGTTTCCGTGTAATTATCTTGATATTAGAATTTTGCTTCGTAGCAAGTAGAAGACAATTTACCCAAAAAAAATTTGCTTCTGATGTGGTTTACCTTGCTGCAATTTGATGCTACAGGAGGCAGCTACATAATATGATAAACAATCTCCCTACCATATATGAAGTTGTAACTGGAACTGTCAAGCAGCAGTCCAGAGAGAAGAACCCTAATGGCACCAGTAAGAGCAATAAATCAAGCTCTAAGAAGGTAGAATACATTTGCTGAAATCCCTCCTTTCTTTTCTATCTGCTGTCGTTTTTCTCATTCACTAATATTTAGCCTCTTGCCTGGGTGCCTCTTGATCGGTCGAGACAGGCAGAGCCACAGAAGCCATCAAAGATGCCTCCTTCCAAAGAGGAGGATGGTAGCAGGGTGGAGGATGCGGAGGAAAACGAGGAGCATGAGAACACCTTGTGCGGTGCATGCGGGGACAATTATGCCAATGATGAGTTCTGGATATGTTGCGACATGTGTGAAAAGTGGTTCCACGGAAAGTGTGTGAGGATCACACCTGCACGGGCTGAGCACATCAAGCAGTACAAGTGCCCGAGTTGCAGCAACAATAAGAGGGGTAGGGCATGAACAACATGGGTTGAGATGGTTCTCATGTATCAGACAGGTTCACTGTAACACGAAAGATTGGGAGCATTTCTGTCGATCATTTGTCCTCTCCCCAGTTGCCAGTACTAAACTGTATTCCACCATCTTCCGCCTGCTAAATATACTTTTTAAACTTAAAGATGTTAAATGAAAATGTTAGGTTTCAGTGATGCCATTGGCATTTGATGTCTAAGCCGCCCGTTTTCTTCGCGTGCACGACCACACTGGGATGGATGATCAGCTATTTTCTTTTCCTTACATTTGATGCTTCTCTGCTACTACTTGCTGCCAGGTGGATCTTAACACGACCTACAGACTGATCAATCCTCGAGTGTGTTAACTTGAGACTACTTGTAGCCAAAGGTTGGGATAAACGCCTAAAGTTTGGCATATGAAACCTAATCGTGTGCGTTTTCTTCCCTTCCCATGTTTCTGTCGTTTCTCTGTCAGCCCGAGCACATTAAAGAGTTTTTAGTATCAGTCAAAGCATCGTCAGAAGATTTTATCCACTGCTTGTATCCATTCCATCCATCCCTCTGCAAAACGAAGCATTTTAAACGTGGGGAGAAACATTTCAAGTGGGCTTGATAGGATAAATATGAAACTTCTGTGAGGTTTTCAAATCACTGATCACTGCTGTCATCATTCCCTCAAAAAAACGCTTTAGGTAGGTAGTAGATGAGACAGGATCTTCTGATCGATATTCTTAACAGTACCAATGTCAAGTTACTAATCTCCATTATTCCATCACAAAACTTAAGCTCATAGTGGATTTTATACTCTTTAACTGAGGTGCTCACTAATATTTCCTAAATGGATAAAAGGAAAATAAACCTAAACATGTATGTGACTGAAAAAAAAAGAAAAAAAAGAAGAAAAAGAGAACCTTTGTTAGCTCACATATGCTCGAAGCTATTTAATCTGCTATAGCTTGTAAAGATTGATTCATTTGCTTTGGAAATAAAAAGTCTTCCAAACAGCCTGCCCTTTAGATCAGGTTTTATTCAATCTCCATAATGCACATAACATTATGGTCCCTTCATCATATAAAAAAAGGTAATCGACACAACATGTATACCACGGAACAAATTTTCTGATATCATTACTTGCCTTCCGTATCAAACTCCATACATTGAATAAGGGATGATGACATACAATGCTAGTCACAAAGCATCACTAGATTTTATTAACATGTGCAAATGCTCTGGCTAATAATGGCAACAAACTACATCTCAAAAACTAACTCAATGCTGGTGCACGAGTATGCAACTGCTGATGAAAAAAGAAACTCACTCCAAGTTCAGCCATAACCCCCCACCGTGATCATCATAATTTACCACAACAATATTACCTCTGCCAGAATAGCACACACAGTTGCATCACATGCTTTTTAATCCCGAAGACCAAGTTCGAGCTCTAGCTCATCATCCTCTTCAAATAGTCGCAACAGACGAGCATGTTGCTCCTCCCTCTTCTTTTTCTGCCAGAGCTTGAAAAGTAAGACAGAACAAAGCACAACTCCTGCAACGACCAAGCATATGAAAAATACTTCCCGGTCCATTTTACTGGAACTAGAGGGCCTAGTCTCATCTTTTACTACATTTGAACTTGATGGGTCATCAGCCAGACCTACAACAAATAGAAAGGTTAAGTCAGGCACAACTGGAAAATGAGGATATCTAAGTAAAGATGAAAGAGAAAGTAGGATAACACATTCAGATTATAAGATTCACTGGACAAATATTTAGGAGAATTTAAGCATCTGACAACTTTTTAGTAGAAGAGAATCCTGAGGTTTGGCCCATTGGGAACACCTAGTGGTCAAAATCAAGGAATTAATTTCTTCAGGCATACCTTGCGGCAACAGTATGTGCTGCTGGCACATTATAGCATGCGATATGTGGTCACGAGCATGAGTCAACAGTATGCAAAAGTTGTGTGCCGAATAGACCCATGTAGCATAGCATGTCACAGGCATCATGCCTCAACACACAATAATATAAGATATGGTCCAAACAAACATTTATCGTTGGAGCATATAAAGCATACTAATCAAAGCAGTCCTAACCCGAGATACCTAAACTGGAACCTTATGATAAAAAAAATCCAAGCTTGTTTAATTTACAAGTGAATTAGTTTGATTTGGTTTAGACAAGTCTGAATCACTGAAAACCAAGTTTCACATGTTAGAATCGATACTGTGAACATCTATAATTCTCAGGATTATGGTCTAAGAAATGATGGTGCAATGTTAATACAACATAATTATCAACATGAGGCCTTTGGATCACACAACGAGCCAACATTAACACTATTAGGTATCTCTCTATCTATTGTCAAATTTATTTAAATTTGTGAGCCGAATGAAAAGAGGAAGAATGTATGGCTGGAAGAGCATTTGACAAAGATAACATGGCAAGTAACCATTAACAGTATCATACTTATTCAACCTCAGAAAATCACCCTCAGATATAATGAAGGTTGGAAAAAAAGATAATGTTGAAAAAAAAAAATAATACACTACTTAATATGTACACTTTGAGAAATTATCCATGGTTTCAGAACTAATACTAGAACAAAGTCCTAGGGAGGGAGAGTTCAAAATTACTCAAACTAACTGAGTTAGATCCTTTCGAAACGTTAGCTAATGCAACTCAATAACTAAGATATTGATATTTTACTTTTGTGTTTTCCTACGAGATTGGTCTGCAATAGCATGTGTCTGTAAATTAAAAAATGGTGATTGCAAAATTTTGGTTTTCTAACTTTGAACAAGATAAAAACCCTATGACAACACTATATAAATATTTTTCGTTTGTATGTTTTCATTAGTAATGACATATATCTGTAATTGAAAATTCGACAAAAAGAAACTTAGTCTAGAAATTTTAGTTTCTGATCCTCCCATATTTTTAACATTAACGTCTGTTCCAATAGCATGAATCTTATGTCTTCAGCCTTAATTCCATCAGATCACTACCAACAATGAGTTAAATCTAAGGCTCAGAGTTTCCTATATAGAAAAAAACCAAAAAGCTTCAGTTGTCTTTCATATATTTCAGAATAAAGTTTCTTGCAGTCCGAATTGAACTCTTAATCCCCTGTCTCCAAATAGAATCCAAAACGAACATGAAACCTTATGAAAATTCAATTCCTAATTATTAAATCAACGAAACCAAACAAAAGCCTGCCAAACTAAACCCTTTCAAATTCTATAAAAGCGTGCATTTTCCATTGGACCTGGAAATTGCTTCTGTAGTCTAAAAAAAAAATCCTATAATTCAAAAGTAACCTGAGAAAGACACGCAAGTTGGCGCAACATTAACCTAACGAATAGGTAACCTGAGATCCAAGAGCTGATCTGATCCACAAGAGGGACGAAGATCCAGTTGCGTGTGTTTTCCATGAGATCTCAAAATGAGAGGATCTCAGCTACCGACTTTGGATCGGAGATCAAGGACAAGAGCGGACCTAAGAGCGACTGAAGAGAGATCGCGGCGAGGACGAGGAGGAGTCGCTTCTTCGATCGCCCACCGGTTTCTTCGTCCATCCCTCCTCGCTTCGCGCTCTGCTGCGACCGCGCTGGCGTTCTGCTTCGGTCGTGCGTGGCGAAATGGAGATTTCGAGCATCCAAGATTGACAAGGAAAATAGAAACCGTGTTGCAAATTATTGGTGAATCGATCCGACCCGATTTGACGTGAACATCCATTTGGATCCGAATGGCAAAAGTACTAGATCCGATAATATATATATATATATATATATATATATATATATATATATATCTTCATTTTGTTTATTACTAATATTTCAAGGGGACATAATTCATGTTTATAATAATAGTATCCTAAATAATTCTTGAAAGTACAAACATAACTAAAAGCGTTTTCTAATGTAATATTCTTTAATATTGCATTTAATATTACAAATTTAAAATGACTAAATTTGTTTAAATTTTTTGGGCCGGCCCATGTCTAATGTCAATGTAGCAATTGGGCTATAACGGGCCAGGAGGAGCCATGCCCCCCTTTACACCTCAAGCCTCGCCCTTATCCATCACTTCTCACTCTGCTCCCCCATCTCCGCCATTCCTCTTATCCTCCCTCGGCCTGTCATGCACTGACGCATATTGATTCGTGATCGCGTCCCTAATATAATAAGGATTCGGGGAAGGACGATTCTTCGTGGATCGGCCATGGACGTGTGGGCTCTCAACCTCAAGACCGCAGGAGGGTTATTCGTCCTTGGGGCGACCAGGAAGCACGATAGGGGGGGCTTGATGGCGCTGCGGTGGGCCGCCGCCGGGTGGAGGGTCGTCGGCGGCGATGATTCCCTCTCCGGAGGGATCGAGGTTCGTGTGAGACTGAGGAGGTCCAGTTCGTCTGCGTCCGGGATCCGGTCGGTTGTGGTGAGGGCCAGCGGAAAGAAGAAGAACGACCACGGAAACCACTCTTCTTCTGGTAAAAGCCTCTGCTTTTCTCTCGTTTCTACTACTTGATTTGGGTTCTTGCGTCGTTCTTCGGTGATCTGCTGATAAATATCCAACTCTTTCTGTTTTCGTTTTGGATTGCGTATAAAAAGGACTTTTTTTTAGGCTATTTGTTGGATTGCTTGAACAATTGTGCCACTTATAATTATGAATGCTGTAGGTAGTGGAAATTTGATGTCCTGATTTGTTTGTATTAGTTCTCTGTGCTATCAAATAACTGGTGGGAGGATCTTAAATTTAGATCAGAAAGACCATGATTGTGTTTATAAGAAAAGGCAAATTATTTTTCTTCGTAAATTTACCAGTTTCTAATGTTTCAGATACACACACACATATATACATGTGTGTATATACATATATGTATATATATATGTATATATATATATGTATATATATATATACATACATATATATACATACATATATATATATATATATATATATATATATATATATATATATATATATATATACATACATATATATATATATATACATACATATATATATACATACATACATATATATATATATATATATATATATATATATATATATATATATATATATATATATATATATA